ATCCCATTGTGACAGCCACAGTGCCAATCCATCGTATTGAGATCCTTCTTTTTCTTCATCCCTCTGCTTTACCAAACATGATGTCTTTCTCCCAGGACTTGTCTCTTCTGACAACATGTCCAAAGTATGTAAGATGAAGTCTTGCCCTCCTTACCTCAAAGGAGTACTCTGGCCGTATTTCTACCAAGACAGATCAGTTTGTCCTTTTAGTAGTCCATGGTACTTTCCATAGTCTACTTCAGCACCACAATTCAAAAGCATCGATTCTTCGTCAGTCTCTTTATGGCATACGCTAATAACTATTACAAAGGTAAGAACAATTCTTTGTCAGTGCTAGTTAAATTGGCCACTTTTGGTTTTAAAGAGTTGAATGTACTATTTATATATTGTAGATTAGTGGCATAGTGGTTAAGGGTTGGGCTGCGGTCTGCAGAGTTGGCAGTTTGAAACCACCAGCAGCTCCGTGGGAGAAAGGTAGGGCTTTCTACTTCTGTACAAGTTACACTGTCCGAAATGCATAAGGTGCAGTTCTACCCTGTCCTATACGGTCGCTAGGAATCTGTATTGGCTCGATGGCAGGGAGATTTTTAAAGGAACTCAACAGGCGAGGAGGAAGGTAAGAGACTTAGAGAAGATACTTTATTTCAGTATTCACTCAATAGAGGTTGAATGTGTCTCTGGTTGTCTCCTTACTGAGGAGCAGGTAAGTATGTTTATAAGTAAATGCATGGGTGAGGTGGAAGCAATTTGGAATTCTGTGTAAAGAAAGAAGGCTGAGTATTTTTGTGGGGGAAGGGTGTGTTTGTGCTGGGCAGCCAAGATAGAAATCTCATTTATGAATTTTCCCAGAATCTTTTCCTTTGTAGGCTAGCTTATCTATGTGGCTTTCTCTATGTGGCTCTGGGGGATGCCAGGGATAGACTCCAGAATGCTACTCCTTCATTGTAGGGGTATATACGAGAACTATGCTGGATACAGAAAGTGAGGGGAGGGATCTGGTACTGCCTGTTGCTTGTCACAATCCCTCTTACTTCCCCCTTCTCCTGAATTGAGCACACACCTGAACCCTGATCCAGACCCTGGGCCAAGGATGGCAATAGTTAGTCTCCCATGTTCACCACTGCCCTGCTATCTGTCTCTGTGTCACAGATATGGAGGAGAGAGGAGCCTGCTGGATGTGAAATGATAGTTTCACTGGGCAAAATGAAGGACAAGGGCTGTCCCAAAACAAGTCATGCCAGCCCTTCAGGCACCTGTTAAGGGGTTAGTGTCTAGTTCAAGGGCAAGGGGAATTCTCCCAGATAGTCCAGCTTCTGTCCCAAACCTGAAACCCACCCAGCAGGGAAAAGCAACAGATATACTACCACCAGCAAGTACACTACCACTTCACTCCTCACAGGACAGGGACTTGGAAAGTGACTGCCTGCATGGTGCCCAAGCTCTGCCTATTCTGTGACACTGGAAAGCCATCTGCCTTCTTGAGACCTTCATCTTTAAATAAGAACCATTTTTGTCCTAGAAATCTGGGCACATTGATTTGGAGACCCATCTTAGCCTGTCCCAGCCCTCCGCATCTCAGGTTCTACCGTACTTTCTCACTGCTATGTGTGTTAGGCTGGGCTCTCTAGAGAAGCAAAAACCAGTGAAGCTTATAAAGGTACATATATATTAAAAAAGGAAAGTAAGAAAACCTCACTCCATCAAGTCAGTACTGATGCACAGGATAGGGTAGAACTGCTCCTGTGAGTTCCTGAGATTGTAACTCTTTATGGGAACAGAAAGCCCCATCTTTCTCCCAAAGTATATAAGTAGAAAAACTTACATCACGACATGGCCCACACAGTTGTAGAAGCAGAGCAAGCCCAAAGTTGGGCAGATTTCTAGCTGGAAGATAGCAAGCTGGTAGCTACAGAGGTGAATGGATACAAGGTAGGCAGGTAAGATGTCATGCTGCTGATGTTTCCCAATATCCGCAGGAATATGGCAGGCCATTGGCTCAAGTGCAAAGATTGGGAGGTCAATGAGCCTATTGCAGGATCCAGACACATCAAAAAGAAAGGAAGCCTTTTGAAAGTATACACTTATATTTGAAGCAGGCCACAGCCCCAAAGAAAATTCTTTTCAATTGATTGCTTCAAGGTTGTGATCTAACTAAGGGTATAGCATCTCACTCTAATCTTATAATTTATTGCTTCTTACAATTAATTGCACATCTCATTATGGAAGTAATTACATTGTATTAGGTAATATGATGAACATTGAATAAGGAAGACCAAAAAAATCCATGCATTTGAATTATGGAACTGGTGAAGAATATTGAAAATACCATGGACTTCCAAAAGAACAAACAAATCAGTCTTGGAGGAAGTACAACCAGATTCCTTAGAGGCAAGGATCGTGAGTTTTCATCTCACATATTCTGGCCCTGTTATCAGGAAAGAATAGTCCCTGGAGAAGGCTATCGTGGGTGGTCAAGTAGAGGGGCAGTGAAAAAGAAGAATGGCCTGGATGGGCTGGGTGGATTGACACGTGATTACAACAACTGGCTCAAACATAAGGACAATTTTGGGAGGGTGCAAGACTGGGTTGTGTCTTGTTCTGTTGAACATAGGGTTGCTATCAGTTGAAAGTGATCACACAGCATCTTGGAACAGGTCGTATCATAGGAGATTACTATGTCTTAGCTGCCAAAGCACTGACAATCTTCCTGACCCAACCCTGTGGACACAAAATAGAAATGTCGGAGCAGCAGGGAAGCAGAGCAAGGAGGTCCCAAGGGAAGACAAACAATGGACTCTGGGGCCAGGATGTGGCACCCCATTAGACTCGTCTGGAAAACACTCCTAAAGGTCAACAAACAGACCTTGACCTACTAACAGGCTTTTTTTTCTTTTCTTTTTCTTTTTTTTCAGCCCATCTGTTTTGTTTTTTTCCTTTTTTCTCTTCTTTTAAATTTTGTATGTCAGTGGCTTTTTTGTTTGTTAGC